AGCTTTTGCCGGTCTCGAGATGAAAAATCGGTACAGAGGCCCAGCGCACACACAGATACACACACAGACAACCTCTTGTCAATATGCGTTTTTCGCATTGCTTTGCTGCAAAAAACGCATAAATATCTGAGGACGTGTTGGTTGTCTTGTTGCGCGTTATTGTATGTTGCCCATGAGGAAGAAAGCGACTCTTGAGAAGGTATCACATGTTGTTCAGCGGACAGGCGATATTTGCTATTTCAAGGCATGCAGCTTAGAAATAAAAGGCTTACCAAATCTACTCATGGGGTGTAAAAGGGGGACGCCAGTAGGTCACCAGCATGGAATGTTCTATCTCGTCCTTAATATTGCCAGGATAAAAAGCGTGCTTCGTGTCCCGTCCTCGGTGCTGCATTTTTTTGGAAAATTTTCGCTGCTGATTTATTTTTTTGATTTCACGATGAAACACTGGTTAGGAAGTATTTCTTGATTTTTAAAACTCCAGTACATGAACTGTGTGTGTATACTGCTTGGGCCCTAGTCGATTGAGCTTGTATTTTCATGATAGCGCCCTTTTCTACAACATCCTGTAATTATTGCTTTTTTGAGTCGTATCATTATTAACTCAGCAGTCTCTAGTACGCATATACATTAGTTAACATCGTTGCAGTGGAACTGTAGCATTGCTGGACATTGTGAACAGCGCTGAAAATGGTATATTTGTTGCGAATTGTGTCCACGTCCTGTCACAGCTTATCGACTCTCTGGTAATGGCATGCGGTGGACTTCTGCCTCTTCTTGCTGCTGCAACATCACCAAATGTACGCCGTTCTAATATTTAAGTTTTTAAATTATCCTTCCAGGCAATGATTTGAAGCGAAAGTAAGGACTGCTGGAGGACAAGAGGATCTTTCCATGCAGTTAGACTGGAAGGAATCTCATTTGCATTCTAATTAATGCATTTTCAGCGCACAAAAATTAAGGAGTCGAAACTTTGTGGACATAGTTTCCGAGTATCACCGAAATTAGTTTTTTTTTTTTAAAAAGTGCAAAATTACTTTTTCGTACATGTAATAATAGCGGTGTTCAGAATGAACTTGACATAGTGGACACAACAAATCAAGCACTACCCGTGGGTAGCGCTGCCCGGCTGCTATCGCGTTTCGCCGCTCTTGCTGATATTTTCGTATTTGCTTCTGGAATAAGCTTCAGCGATCTGGAACAGGAAAAAAACATGCCTAGTGGTGGTATTTTACGGCAGACATTACGACTCGGTAAGTTGCCTCGCACTTTGCAAGGCCATTTTGCGTATTCCGACATCCTCACATTCACAAGTAAATAGAGTAACAGCTTTGCTGGAGCGTTGAAATCTCGTAAGTTTTCCTGAGCTGTCTTATATAGCGAAAGGAATCTTCGTGTGATTGTGGATCATTTTTGTGATAATATGTAGAATTGAAGTAAATTGAAGTAAATTGTAGAAGTAAGTGTAGAAGTAAATTTGGGTGCTTGAGTGTTGTTAGTCAAAAAACTTCAAAGACATCTTGCAACTTTAATTCCTACTAATTTCAATCGCCACAATCGTCGTACTGAGGAGGTCCATTTGTGGTAATGGTAGGAAATATATATGACTTAATGGGGCGAAACATTTCTTACCATTATAATAATTTTAAAATTTTTCTAATTCTCATTTCCCTTTTAATTCTTTTACTTATTTTATCCCTTGTTAATATACCGTTCTGCTCATTACTTTTAGGCTTCATTTAATTGGTTCTGGTAGGTCTGTGAGTGCGAGAGAGAAAAGAATTTTTTTATTGGCCTCCTTCGACTTTTCCCCCTTATCCTCATTTTTACCTCCTTTCATTCACCAGCTACATATTCTCTTGTTATGGAAGCATGAAGAGTGATATTATAATTTTTCTCTTATTAAAACATTTTAGTGTCGACAATGGCTGTACGAAACATACTGGCCTGTCGTTCCACTTTTCCACTCCGTGATGCCAAGCACACACAACGCGCACAACAAATCGCGGATTTCGTTGCCGGTGTGCTGGATGTTGTTAGTGGTTTTTTTTTTTCTGCTCTGCATGCACACTTACGCTATTATTTTGTTCTTCTTCCTTTTTGTCTTCGTGTTGTCAGTGTAATTGAAAAATCTTAGTGATTGTTGAAACCACCAACTGTAATATTTGGCAGTTAGTGAATAGCTGATCGTTATGTCTATTGCTTCGCTTTCTTTTATAGTTTTTCTGGGAAGAAATGATAGACGTATCACATTCTCTTCGCCGCATATGAGCATAGTTATTCATGTCAGTCCATATATAAAGGATCTCTTATCTGTAGGAATTGTGGCAGGTGTTGAACTCAGACACGCTGGGCTCCTAGAGGGAGAAAGAGAAAATCTGACCATCCAGTAACATGCTGATTTTAGCAGTTAATAACAGTTGTTTGCAGAAAGGTAAAGAAGGAATCACTGACAAGGAGCATTTGCTCCAGGAAATTGATTTGCAACGTCTGAAAGGAGTTATTTATCGTGATATGGTTAGGTTTATTCTTAATCTTTTCGAATCCCGCTTTTCGGGTGAAGAATTTTTATATAATCACTTCTTTTGTTCGTCAAAAATTAAACGGTGTGAAAAATTTAGGAAGAAAATCGACAAGCACAATTCCTAGCGCTCGCAGTGACTTACCTACTCTCAGTACTGATGGTCTCCCGATACAGGGACATTTTGGAGCCGCCCTCCACTCCAAGTCCATTTTTTGATACAACTACAGCAGGCGGTACAAACAAAGGTTAGCACTTGAAAAAGCACTATTTTACAGTCCTTTGCAAACTGTTGCCATTTTCGATTGCAACAGATATCGTTCAAATTGCAGATGACGGAAACAGCCTAAGACAGACGAACGATGATTCGTACGCTGAAGAGAATGGTGGGACGCGCGATCGTCGGGATAGTGGTGTTGGAACGGACATGGTTATTAGCGAAGTGTCTGCTATACACGAGGAAAGCAAGAAAAGAGAGCTGCAGGGCAGCGTCTATCGCCAGGATCACCTCAATACCTTCAGTGTTCGTCTCTTTTCTTACTTTTTACAATTATACTTTAATAATGGTGTCCATTTATTGTTCCGCATTTTTGTAGAAGCAATTTTGATGCTACCTGGGTTAGCCTGCTACTGTTCCTGGCGTTCGTTTCTTTCTTCTTTTTGCTTCCAAAAAGTTGCATGGGATGCGCCAGGTTTTCCCTTCTCTCTGCTTTTGTAATTTGTTTTCTGGCAGTGATTAATTGCAGGTTCTAAGTCAAATCAGATAGAAGGATATATTCCTCGCTAAGCTGACAGTTGTTAGTTTCGCGTATCAGTGCGCGAAATTAAATAACCATTCGGGCAATCTCTGAAAAGTTGGCGCACATACATCCAATAGGCAGTTGATACTAACTAGAACTAAGTAGCTCAGGTCCGACCAGCCAGGCACTGTTGCGCCGTGTATGGAACATTTCTAACATCGAATTCCCCACTGACTGTCCAAGAAGTCTTGGAGATGTGCCAATTAAAACTCTTTACCTTTACTTCTATATAATACGTTGGCTATTATTACGGATCTTGCATGGTCCCACTGATATGCTACAAACTGTTTGTCTGATGAAAAGCCTAATTTCGTGTTTGGTCATGAAGATACACTGTAAACAATTTCCACTTAATTGTTATCCTAGTCACAGCTCTTTTGTTTTTTTTTAACCATTTCGTAACAGCATGCCACTGCTTTCAAATACAGTGGTACTGAAAAAATTGGTACTGTCCCTGCGATTCGAAACACTGAGGACATCGGTTTGGTGGAAATTTACCCGAGCTGGGAGCTCTGCAACATACAGTTTTCTCGGCTAATGACCGTAGCTTAGATTTACTTGGCAGAGGTAGTCATATCAACTTCTAAGTTATGACCGTCTGTCTTCCACCTGGCGACAGATGCCTACCGACATTTTTGTAATATGCTCGGGTTTTATCTTGGCAGTGGACCGGAGGAATGCATAGATGCTACAACTTCAGTACAGAGATAATGGAATCTGCACAGTAAAGCAGTTTTAAGACCGTTTTATCTGTAACCATATAAGATGAAACTTGATTTTGTCTGTTTTAGGACAGCAGCCTTCCAAATCGTTTGCTGGAAACAGACGAACGACGCACTTATTTGACGAATAAACTACAGAAGGCGTTAGAAACAACGGCGCCTTTGTTGCGTGAAATACTTACTGATTTCCGCTCCTTTCTACAAAAGACTCTACTGGGGACGCATGGACAAGAAATCATGAATGATGCTAAAGGTGACTTCCTCTTACAGGCATTATTTTTGAAATAAGCACTTGTTTTTGAACACCGTAGACTCACCTGGTATCAGAAATGATTCTACTCCTTTTCGCTATTTTGCTAGTTGATTCTGAAAAAGAGACAACACTTTTTTCGGAAATGGTTTGTAGGGAGTTCTTGAAAAATGCAGCATTTGATATGTGTTGGGCTGGAAATTTAAATACTTTACCGCCATTCTGTGCGTAAAAATCCCAGCAGACTGGCCTCAAGGCGATACAGCACTGGTTAGTCCGACTGCAAAAGTTGACGGCTGCATAACTAGAGAACTGGAATATGAAATGAAACTGGTTAAAGCAGCACATTTGTTGGCAAATCCCAAAAGAAAAAAAAATTTTGCATCCTAAGATATGTCAGTTGTTCTGGTTGAGATT